CCCCAGGAATGTTCTGCACTCTAGCTCGCCTCCCCAAGGGCAGGCCCCTGGGGGTTGCCACAGCCCCGCCTCCCCTCCCGGGAGCCCGGGAGGGGGCGATGCGGGCAGGACGCCTGGGTTCCTCCCTCCCTCCCATCCCAGGGAGAAATTCCTCCGAGGTCCCCTCAGGCTCTGGGTTCCCAAAATAACCCTGCGGGGGAAGGGAGGCTGTGGAGGGAGGGAAGCGGGAGGGGCGTAGAGCCGAGCTGCGGGGTGCTGCAGGTGCCTCCGGGGAGAGGACGCGAGAAGAGGGCCTACGAGGGGTTGGGGCACAAACCAGTTCCCGGAGTGTCCTGGCTCGTCCCCATCCCCGGGGAGCCCCTCGGCCTTCCCGCGACTCCAAGGGTGAGCCGGAAGCCTCGCGGCCGGTCGGTTTCCCAACTGGTGGGTTGCACCATCCCGGGCCAGACCGTTTAACCCCGGGAGTGGCCGCGGCGCACGACTCCGCCCCTGCCCAGCAGGGGGCGTGCCCGCCCCGCCCCGTTCCTGCCCGCCCCGCGACTCGCAACCCCCCCCACCCCCCGCCGGCGCCTCCGCAGACTCCCTCTCTGTCTCTCCCGGGACAGGGGTCCGGTCGGAGCCCCTTGGGAGGCTTCGGAGTGCAGCTTGGCCCAGCCTCCCCGCGCCGGCGGCCATGGCGGGCACCCTAGACCTGGACAAGGGCTGCACGGTGGAGGAGCTGCTCCGCGGCTGCATTGAAGCCTTCGGTGAGTGGCACGGGAGGGCACGCCCAGCCTGAGCCCAGCTCCGAGCCTGAAACGGGGTCCCTGCCTTCCCGGGCAGACCCCTGGCCTGGACCCACCCAGTTCCGCATCCTGCCACCTTTTTAACGAAAGCCTTCTCTTCATTGCTCGGTAGACAGATCCACACGCTTCGGAAAGATAAAATGTTTCCCTTCCCTGGTATGCCGGCATTGAAGGGAGGGACGGGGTCCCCAGACTCTGGAACATGCGGAGCGTTATCTGTCTCCCCGGAGGATCCGGAGGAACTGTCTATCTCTGGCCTGGGAGCTGTTTCCGGCTGGTGGGGGGCGGCTTATCTGGTGAGGGGGTGCCCTTTCCCCCAAGCACTCAGGAAATGGCCTCTGGATTCTTGACCCCGGGGAACCCAGGCTTCTTCCGCCCCAGCTGGCTCCCCTCGGGACGATGGGCCCGGATCAGACGCTTCCCTCCTCCGGTTCCTCAGATCCTGCCTTATCCCTCGCCCACCCTACCTTTTCTTTCTAAGCTGCCTACAGGATTCACAGTCCTGGCAAAGCAGGTGATGGGCGGGGGGCCACACATCCGGCGGGCTGTGGGGTAGGCTTTAGGGACCACAGCTACGGGACGAAGGGTCACCCCGCTTCTCTCTGACCCCTCGGAGTTAGATGACTCCGGGAAGGTGCGAGACCCGCAGCTGGTGCGCATGTTCCTCATGATGCACCCTTGGTACATCCCTTCTTCGCAGCTGGCGGCAAAACTGCTCCACATATATCCTTCGCGGGCCTCGCCGTGGGCCCTGCAGTCCTGCTTGGGGGAGCCAGGCCGCCCAGCCCAGGCCAAGAATGGGCTCCGCTCCTAGAGCATGGGCCCCTTATAAGCCCTAGAATCCAGGCTTGGCGCAACCTTGCTCCAGGGCCGAGGCTCCGCCCCTTCCCGCCTCTCGAGTCAGGCCC